CTGGGATCTGCCCCAAACCCATGCCTCATGAAATAACCGCCCGCTTCCGGTCCACAGAAGTCAGCTGGGGGGTGGGCAGGTGAGTGTGTGTGTTTTGGGTCTGACCCATAGGCGCGGAGTAATCCTTGGCCTCAGCGATTGGCTTGGGGAAGGACACCTGCTGGAAGTGCATGCACACCTTGGTAGACAGCTCAACAGCGGGAAGCCACCTGCACCGGCCAGCTGTCCTTTGGAAAACATGCCTGGGAGTGGGGCCACAGGGCAGGAGGGTGGAGCAGGTGGGAAGCCAACTGATCCTGATGCAGACAGTCGCCTCTGGACCCACTTCCATCTGAACCTTTTCCTCTTAAACCTGTCCACGTTGGGGGATTTGTCCCTGGCGACCTGTTTTGGTGGATTCATCTTAGCCTGCTGCAAGTTAGAGTTGCCTACTGGTTTTTTTTTTTTTTTCTTCTTCTTCTTCTTCTAAACAATGCAGCAATGTAGAACTTAGTATTGGTTAGAATTATTTCCCAGTGATGTGTTATATGGTAAGACAGCCCAACATTGCTGAGGCCTGGAAATATTTTGCCTCATTTCCCCAAGGTGACTATGGTCTGGACCTCTCACCTCCACAAGTATGATTTTACAACTGGCATACCAGTGGCATGGTGAGCGAAGCTACCACCTGCGGTACTGACATCCCCATGTGGGTGCCAGTTCAAGTTCCGGCTGCTGCACTTCTGATCCAGTTCCTTGCTTTGGGCTTAGGAAAGTAGTAGAGGATGCCTCAAGCCTTTGGGCCTCTGTGCCCATGACCCGAAAGAAGCTCCTGGCTCCTGGCTTCTGACAGGTACAGCTCCAGCTGTTGCGGCCATTTGGGGAGTGAGCCAGCAGATGGAAGATCTCTCTCTCTCTCTAACTCTGCTTTCCAATAAAAACAAATACATCTTTAATAAAATAAACCAAAATCGAAGTTCCAAAGACATTTTTTAAAACAAGCCAAAGTTGTATTTATTCTTTAAACAGGAAAATGATGTAAATATAAAACAGATAAAAACAGACAAAAAAAAAAATCCAGAACACACAACACACAAAACCACAACACACAAAACCCTTCCCAACTCAGCAAGCCTGAAAACCCTTTATTACAGATCCCCGGAAGATGAGACTGTCCTGGAGTGGTCACAGCATTGCATCAAAGGAGAAAGAGAGACAGATTGGAAAAGTTTGTACACAGGTAGTGGGGTGCGGGCTGGGGGCAGCGCCCCTTCTTGCAGCACCGGCAGGAGCGGAACACGCCAGAGTCGAAGTGATTGGCATGGGTTTCTAGAACCTTACCCCGTCGACTGGTCCCCCGCCCACTTTGAAAAGTTGCTTTTTATTAAAAAGGATAAAAAGTGCACAGACACTTTGGTAAGGCACAGACAGAGTTGTACAAGTCATTCCATAGGGCGGGGGGGCTTGGTAAAGCCCATGACAGAACAGAAACACCCAGAGACCCCAGGAGGCAACAAATTCCTGAGCCAGCATCCCCACCCCCCCACAACCTCGCGGGGGTGGCACTGAGCCTGGGGGCGGAGAGGGTGCTGCCTCTCACATGAGGCTTCGCATGGCCCCGTCTTGAAGTGGATCTCCCACAGTTGGGGTTTTCCTGGGGCTTGGGGCTGGGGACCTGGCCTGCATTGACGCAGGGCGTCCTGCTCCCCACAGGGTGGCTTTTGCAGGGGAGGGTGGGATTTCACTGAAGGTGTATTGGCAGCAGCAGCTCACGGACTGCAAAGGAGCCTGGCATTTTCAACATGGAGGGTTTTCAGAGCACACAGGGGGCTGTGCGTCAGGCAAGTGGTCTTGGGCACTCCAACTCACAAATGGCTGAGAATGCCCAAAGCCCACTGCCCCGGATGCCTCGTGAGCCTCCTAACGCCGCCGTCTGGGGCATCACAGCTGGAGCAGGACCTTCTGCTCCCTCCTCCCAGCACGCCGCGCCTCTAGTAGGCGCTCAGCAGGGTTGTTGAGTGACTGTGCGTTCGGCACGTGGCATTGCACACTCACTACACAGTCACTGGTGGCTCGGCTCAGCAGACCTTTTTTGAGGACCCAGGACATGTGGGTTCAGATCAAAGCAAGACCGACTGATCGGTCGATATCTGCATGATGAGCTATTGCGATTCTTTTTTGCCCATTCATGACTGTGTCCAGGACATGGTCCGTGCTGATTGGCATTTAGTCGGGGTTGACTGAGAAAAGCCGCTGCAGTAAGCGGGGGGATTTTAAACCCCCTAAGATACGCTCCTCTCAGAATACACTGGACAAAGGAGCCCATTTGACTTTGGAAGCAGTCCTGCTATTCCAGCTGCACCAGCACAGACCCAAGCCCACCGCAACAGGTGCAGCTCCGGGGGTCCCTCGTCCTGGCTCTGCTGCTGACACTCAGATGAGCATTCTGTAGGCGGCAAGCCTGGAGAGCTGGGTGTGCCCCCAAGCATCCTTCCATGGGCTCCCCGTGCTAGCGCCAAGACCCCCCCTTCCCCACAACTTAGCTTAGGAGAAGGTGGGTACCAGCCTAAAAGGAGGTAGTGTGAGTGTATGTGGCTAGCAGCCTTGAGCTGTACGCACACACACGCCTGTGGCTGCAGGTACCTTTCAGGCCAGACAGTGGACGGCATGGGATGTGGCACCAGACGTGCCTTGGTGTGACTCCCATTCATCTCACTCTTAGGGCCTCAGCACCCTAACCTGCCAAATGAGGGTGGCACCCCGCTCCGCGATTCCCAGCAGCACGTTTGCCCACACAGTCATCTCAGACCACAATAAACTCTGTAGCACGTCACAGGCAGGGCGGGAGGCATCTTGTCCCAGGTGGCACATAAAACTGGGGGCATTTTCTAATCAGCAGTGTCTTTGAAGGGGTTCTAAGCAGGCCTGAGACCTGCATGATGTGAGAAGGCACCTCTCCAGCCCAGTGCCAAGGCACGTAGTAGGTGTGGAATTAAGAAGTGGTTCCTTCCCTTCCTGTCCCCTTGGCAGCCAGTGAGAAGCGAGTGAGAGCAGCGGCTCCTTAGCCCCGAATGACACATAGCTCCTAGCACCGGGTTTTTTAGGACAGATGCCCTCGGAACCCATTTTAGAAGCAGGGAGGTTGGAGCAGGCTCAGTGGGGTACCCGCTCCTTCCTTGCCAGGTGACAGGTTGCCAAAGGCATGCCTGGTCTGCCCCTGGGTGCCACCCTCAGATACTGCTGCCAGCTGCACGTGACCTTAGCTGGAATTCCAGGTGGAAGATGGAAGGACCAACTGGCTTGGCCCGGCCACAACCCACCAGAGGCGCTGACTGCGTCAGCAGGGGACGGGGGTGACTTCTGCCCCATGGTGGCATTTTGGCCCCTCACAGCCTGGGCCTTTGTCTGCTGTACCTGCACCCAGTCCGAGGGGAGACTGTGCTCCCTGGGGGGCTTTGGAGGGGAGCCTGTCAAGAATCTCAAACTCTTATTCGGGCAAACACTGGGGTTCCAGGAGTAGCTCCTTCAAAGGCTGTGCTATGAAACTAAAATGTGGGCAAGCTTCCCAAATTCACCAGGGAAAAATGATCCATGGTGGGGGGGGGGGCGCAGTTCTAGCTGGGCAAGACAGTATGGGATTTCCTCCTAAATGGAGGACAAGTCAGAAAACCATGACCACTCCCAGGCAGAGAAGCATGGCTTGGGCACTGACTGCCCTTCTGGGTGGCACCTCGTGAGTGCCTGGGTACCCCCGCCCCCAAATCATGACCAGCATTTGCTACATAACTGTGTACAACTCCCTGAATGCCTTCTTCTCTCCACCTGCCTTGGCAAGAGGTGCACAAGTCAGGAGGTGGGACAAAAAATAACGCTCATCTCTTGCCAGCTGTCTCCGACTGGAAACGAAGAATCAGACCATTCAAGTGACTTCCTTTAAGGGACAGTCAGGGCAGATGTGGGGCTCAGCACCAGAGACCAGGAGGAAGGAACGGGCCTGGGCTGGCCCCCTGAGCCTGCAGAGAGGGACTGGAGGCGGAGCCTGCAGGGACAGACCAGAGGCAGCCGTGAGAGGGTGGGAGCCGGGCCAGGTTCCCAGGAAGCATCCGAGAACATGCCTGGCAATGCTTTGCGTTTGCACTTAAAGTTTCAACTCTTAGCTAACCTGCTTCCCCAGGAGCGTGTTAGTCATCAGTGGGGGGGACAGCTTCACAGAGGAAGAACAAAGACCAGCTCCCTGCAAATGCCCACACGCAGGGCTCTGCCTGGGCCGGGAGCCACACCAGGAAAGAGAGCGAGCCGAGTGTGCACCTGCCCCCAGGAAAAGAGCCGCTGCCCCCATCTTCTCCCTGGAGACCAGGAGGGGGATGACAAGAACCAAAACATCTAGCCAGGTCAAGGTGCGATGTGCTTGTTATTAGTCTGAGTGTGGGGGGGGTGTGAAGGGGTGAGAAGACACCGCCACCCCCTTCCACGTGCTGCTTTGCTGCAAGGTGAGGCAAGAATCTAAAGAGAGTGGGCCCCTTCGCAGAGCTCCCCACCCCCCACGCCCGCCCCAGGAGCTGCTGCCTTGGAGCTGTAAACAATGAGTTATTTTTGCCTCCCCTTAGCGAAGTGTCTCTCTCTTTTGTTTTTCTATTCCACCCCGGGGGGTTGGGGGGGACTGTTTAGATCCAGGCTTCGTACATTCAAAACCAGCTTGTACCATCACATCCCCAGGGAGTGGGCGATGACGTGTCGCTCACATCTGGGCTCTGGATCGCACACCCCTATGTGTCGGCCTCCCCGAGTCAGGATCCCTGCATAAAACACCTGCACCTTCTCGCTCGGTGACCCTCCTCCCTCTCCTACGCTCGGCCCAGCCCCGTAGACAAGCTTCCCTCGCGCACACACACACAAGAGGACGCCAGTTTCCCAGCTACAAGGGCGCCACGGGCCAGGGCAGTCTGCCAGGCATTTCCTGAGCTTGTTCTTGGGGTAGCCTTTGAGGGGGGGCAAAGCACTTTGGAAGCCACCCCGGGCCTGGGCTCAAGGCCTCATTTCCACAAACCAGATGCCACTGGAGGTTAGCAGATGACATAGTAGCCTTCACCCGGGGCCTCTCTGGCGGCTGTAGCAGGTTGCTCCGCTCAGGGGCTCCCCTTGCCTCGCTCCGGCCAAGGCCCCGGAGGCGGCCCGGTTATGGCCTGTAGATTTTTATGACATCCTTGATGGGCCGCCGGCAGATGGGGCAGCAGGCCCGGGCCTGCCTCTTGAGCCGCAGGCCACAGCTGTGGCACAGGCACATGTGTCCGCACGTATAGATGACCGTGTCCACCTCGCTGTCAAAGCACACGGTGCACTCGCCGTTCTTGCTGCCCGTCGGCTCCGGGGGCAGGAAAGCGGGAGACACTGGCGGGCTCAGCGGGGAGCTGGGGGCCGTCACTGTCAGGAGGGGGAATGAAGAGACGCAGGTTAGTAATGTAGCCCCAACAAGGCATTGAAGTGGGGGAGCAGGTTTTTTTTTGGCGGGGGAAGGCCAGCAGTCTGGGGTCACCTGGCAGGATTCCTCCTTTCTCGGCACATCCTTCCTCCTTGCTGACCACCAGGATAGATCGCTGCCACTGCTCCCTTCAGGATGTCCCTCCTCCCTCCAGCGAGGGGGAGGCCACGGCCCACCCGTCTGTCCCCCTCCGTGCACCCATGGGGGTTTGTGCTTCCTCACCCAGGGACGACTCTGACGCCGAGGAGGACTGGTTGACGCTGAAGGTCACGTCTGAGTCGCTGTCATCTTGGGAGCCGCTGAAGGACCCTGACGGCGTTGTGGCTGCGGGACTAGACTGCAGGGTACCTGAGACGCAAAGAGATGCTCTCAGGGGGTGGTGGGGGGCAGGGCAAGGGGTTGCTTTTCCCCCCACCTGCCTGTCTCAGCCACAGTCCAGTGACACTTCTGGGGTACACGCCCCGGCAGCCTACCCAGGAACTCAGAGGTGCTTCAGGGACAATCACCTAACCCAGGCCGGGCCTGGCTCTGTCCCTTTCGCTGGGAAAAGGAGGGGCTTACTCCCCCAGGGGCAAGCCTGGTGTGAAGTCACCCCACAGCAAGAGCCAGGATGAGAGTGAAGGCGTCAAGTTCCAAAAACTGACATCCTTCCAGCATCTGGACTGTCACTTGAACGCGCTCCTAGGTGTTTAGGTTACTTGTACCCTTGAACTCCCTGTTTAGGGGCTGGCGCTGTGGCATAGTAAGTCAAACTCCATCTGTAGTGCCGGCATCCCATGTGGGCACTGGTTTGAGCCCTGCATGCTCTAGTTCTGATCCAGCTCCCTGCTAATGTGCCTGGGAATGTAGTGGAGGATAACCCAAGTGCTCAGGTCCTTCTTCCTTCTCTCCCCTGCTGACTGCTCAGAGCTCATTCTGGTTGCTCGCAAATGGCAAGGACTCTAAGGCTTAACTCCCAAAGCCCCAACAGGAAGCTGTGTAACTCATGTCAGATTGCAACCTCCATTCCCTGGAAGAAACAAGAGCCAGATCACGGCTGGGTGGCCCCCCGCCTCCCTTATCCTCATTCAGTCACTGCATGGCGCCAGCAAGCGCAGGTGTGTGTCGCCCAGGTAAGCAGCCTTCCACATCACCCTTGTGCTGCCGCCAGAAGGCGGTCGTTTGTCCACGCGCACAGAAGCAAGCGAGGGCTCAGTAAGTTCTGGGACCTGTCCAGCAGTCTCGTGGCTGACGCGCAGGTGCATCTGCCACTGTTCACTCAGTCTGCATCAGCTTTATCACAGCAGTAGGAAGTTTCGGCGCATACAAGTTTGGGAGCATATAACGCGATGGTGGCAGGTCCTCTTGAGGCCACATCTAGCCCGCAGCTGGGGTGGCCTGTGGCGCTTATATACAGCATGGAGTCAGGGCACGTATCACCTCCCCACTGGAGCGCTCCAATCTCCCCTTCACCTTCTGAACCTCGGGGCTGTTCCTACTTCCCAGAGCCGGACAACAACCCGTTACCCACCTAGCCTCTCCAGGGAACCCTACTCAATATGGGATTCCAGGGATATCCCGAGTTGGGGAGCGGGGAGGGCGGCTCATGCAGGTGGGCGCAGTCACCGGGGACACTCACCGAGCAGGCGCAGTTGTCCCGCGACGCCACCACGCACGGCGAAGAAGGCCCAGAGTGCCTGCGTGGTGTCCACGCACAGCAGGCGGCCGCGCGGGCGCCCGTTGACGCCGAGCAGCACGTCGCCGCCGGGCTGCAGCGTGAAGCTGAGCGCGTCGCCGCCGCTCGCCACGGGCCCCGCGCGTGCCACCACCCAGTACTCCTTACGGTCGAGCAGCGCGTCGGGATCGGCGGGCAGCTCGGCGGGTCGCAGCGCGCCCGGGTCGCACGACGTGATGCCGAAGGCCACGGCACCGGGCGCCGCCGTCAGCCCCGGCCTGCCCACCTCCACCAAGAGGCTCTCGCCTGGCCGCAGCGGGCGCTCGCTGAAGACGAGCGTGCGTCCGCCGTCGGGCCTTGGTGCGCACGCCACTTTGCGATCGGCCGACAGGCTCACGTCGGGCCCGCGCGTCGCGTGGAAGCGCAGGTCGGTCTCCAGCAACGCTGGCGAGGACGCGGGCCGAGCGCGCTCGCGGGGCCCGCAGGGGATGGCGGCGGCAGCCACATCAGCAGGTGTCCTCGTTGCTGCTGCTGCTGCTGCTGCTGCTGCTGCTGCTGCTGCTGCTGCTGCTGCTGCTGGAGGCGGCGGTGGGCCCGGGGCGCGGCCCAGCGCCAGGTGGCCCAGCTTGGCTACCACTTGGTTGTTCTCCAGCTCGTTGTTGTCGAAGTTGGCGGCGTCGTGGCTACTGGGTGGCAGGCAGGCGTTGAAGCGGGCCTGGCTGAGGCGCGCTGGCGTCATGGTGTCCGCGAAGCCGCTCTCTGCATGGAACAGGAGGCTGGCATGAGTGCAGGGACCCGACCCCGGCCTTCCACCTCCTCCTTCTGCCCTTCCTTGTAGGGCAGCTTCAGTGGGTCCAGTGCCTGGAACCAGTCTGTGCTACTTCTTCTCGCTCCTGCCTTTTGTCTCCTGCCAACTTCCCTCGTCCCTCTTCCCTCCCATGCAGCCGCCAACCCCACTGCCCGAAGTTTGCACACTTGTATTAAACGGCATTTACAAATCCTTTATCCATCCATGTCAACACACGCTCCACAGTATCAATGACTTGACCAGGGGCAGGTGGCATTGTAAGCTTGTTAGAGCTCACTGCGTTTTTCCAACAGCCTTGGAATGGGATATACTGAGTTATCACCCTGCCACCCAGCATTGTATCAGAGAGGGTAGCTGAGGCACGGAGGGGGTAAGAGACCATGACCAGGCAAAGGCAGCGGCTAAGAGGCCTGCACCAGCCTCGGCCGGAAGGCAGCCGGCCTGCGGAGATGCTCAGCAATGGTCTTCACAAGCCACCAGCGCTGTCTGTGGGACAGAACACCAGGACCCAACGCACAGTCGTGAGCACGTGGTTGAGCAACTTGGAGTGATAACAGTTGATTGGCTCCACACCTGGATTAGATGCGTGACTAAAGGAGAGACCAATAGCCGCACTGAATAATTAAATTAAAAAACACACACAGAGAAATCAGGAAGAAACAGTTGCTAAAAATAGTTTGAAGATTTTTTTTTAGAGATAAAAGGCTGTCGCCCATAACAAGTAAACAGGAAAAATGTTTCCGCGGCTGTTACAATCAGGCCTCCCTAGCCAAGACTGTCTTAGATGTCGCCATGTTAAATATGTCATGCCAAAAACATTCACTTCTCTAAGTCTCCTTAATAGAAAATGACATCATGAACACGCCTTTTTCAGAGTGTCCCCGAGGCCTGAAAGCAGCTGGACGCCGGCCACTTGGACCGGATTTAACCCTCTCCCGGGAGCGGGCAGTGGGGCCTCGAGGCTGTGGTGGGCCACGGCTTGTCCCTTCCGGAGCCCCGAGGTGGCCCTCTCCCTCTCAGAGCCTTGCCTGAGTCTAGCAGGAGGGAGTGTGTACAGTTTTGCTTAGAGCAATGCTTTCCCAAATATGGCCTAAGGGAAAAAATGGGATTTGAGCTTGGTTTCTGAGAGTGTCTGTTTGATCCAGCAGCCGGCTGTGGCAGCCACATTCCACACGGGTGCCAGTTTGTGTCCCAGCCTCTCCGCTTTGGATCCGGCGTCCTGCCTGCAATTTTGGAAGGCAGTCTGCCCCCCACATGGAAAACCTGGGTGCATCTTCTCATTTCTGACTCCAGCCTGGCCCCGCTCTGGCCATGGGGGCCACCTGGGGAGTGGACCGGTGGATCAACAAGCTCTCTCCTTTTCTCTGTAACTCTTTGAAATCAATGTTTTTTCAAAAACGTATGTCCATATGTGTCTCTATCTGTTCATTATGTATACAGAAGTCAAGTTCTAGAAAGATATCTGAGAAAATGTTAATGGTAAAATTAGGATGATATTATGAATGGGGTTTTCTTTAGAATTTTTTTTCTGAGTTACACATTTCTCAATGATCAGTATGCATGCATCATAAAAACAAGAATGCAGATAGCCATGCCTGGATGTGTGCTGCCCCTCAAAGGCTTGCGGAGACGGGGGGGGGGGGCTCGGTCCTCAGTGCGAGTGGCAGGAAATGGAACAGAAGTTTGAGTTGGGTGGGGAGGCATTGTGGCACAGCGGGTTAAGCCGCCCCTGGAGACGCCTGCACCCCTTATCCAAGTGCCAGGGACTGAGTCCCCAACCCAGCTTCCCAGTGATGCAAAGAGCACCTGAACCCCTGCTACCCCTGGGGGAGACCTGGATGGAGTCTGGCCCCTGGCTTCTGCCAGAAGCATCCCTAACTGTTGTGGCCATCTGGGCAGTGGACTAGATGCTCCTTCTCTGCCGCTTTGCTTTTTCAAATAGATAGTGAATAAACTTGAAACAAGGGACTGTGGGGGGGAGGGTCCTGGTGGGAGGTCAGGCCACTGCAGCTGTGGCCTCAGACAGGACTGAGGGGCTCCTGAGCACGCGCATAAGCGAGTCCTTGGAGCCTGTTCCCCATCTTCTCTCCACTTCTGGTCTGCTGATGGGCCCTCTCCCTCCGGTGTGTGCCCCTGCTGTGGTGCCACCTGCAGTTAGACACCCCCAACCCCCCAGTCCGAACCCGGGGGTCTCCATCTTGTGCACTTTACTCTCCCAAGGTAAAGCTAAAAATCAATCAATCAAAGCTATCTAAAGAAGTCTGCCTTAGGTATTCCATTACAATAATGCCAAACTAATACAGATTTTTTTTAAAAATCAAGTTTTTCAACTCATGTTGAACCACGTGAAAAAAGTGTCCATTACATAAACAAAAGATAAAAACCAATTGATTCCAATCTTAGGAGAAAAGTGTGTGTAGCGAGCCATGGACGTGAATGCCCAGGAAAACAGGAAGGAAGTACAAAAAGGCACAGGGTGGTTAGCAGGGTGTTCCACAAAGTTCACAGAAATAGGTTTAAAAGCTAAGTTTGTTCTGGTGTTAGAACTTCTTGAGCGTATATGCAGAATCTTCAAGAAGTTTGTGAAAATGCTTATTACAAACAAACTGGATTCCACATTTTTTACACTGAAATATTTTGTACTTTAGTTTTCCATGAACATTTTTTCCTGATTTACTGATTGATTTTGTTTATCTGAGAGGCAGAGAGACAGAGCATCCACCTCCACGTTCACTTCCCAGGAGCCTGCAATAGCTAGCCCTGGGCCAGCGGGAGCCAAGAGCCAGGAACCCCATCTGGGCAAGCCTATATGACTGCAGAGACTCAATCTGGCCATCACCTGTGGCTCCCGGGGTGTGTGTTAGTGGAAAGCTGGGATGGGAAGCAGACCGGGGACTTGAACCCAGGCACTCTGCCACGGGATGCAGGTGTCCCCACGGCAGCTGTGACCGCTGCACCAGATGCTTGTCCTGTCCGTGACCTTCTTCAAGTACTTTCCCAGACTGCTCTTATAATCAGGAAAAGCAGCACATACAAGAGTAGACAAAAACAAGATTTGTTTTGAAAAGGCATTTTGGACAAATGGCTGTTTCTGAGAGCCACGATGTAGTGACAGCCTGACCCAGCCTGCATAGCCGCCAACGCCAGCTCCTTAACACGCATGATTCCACCTGTGGGGTTTAGCCAACAAGTATCCCCCCGACCCAGTATTCACCGAGCAGACAACCCAGGCCAGGGCCAGGCAGGCCCATTCAGGCCGTGTGCCGGGGCAGAAAGGACATGATGGACCCAGAAACGGATCTGAGGTGAGGACTAGTGGATGACTTCTGAGCTTGGGGACAGATCTGCTAGGTGGCTCTGCTGATGGCGATGGCAGGGGACAGGATGGTAGGGGGGTAATCCTGCATCTGAACGTGCCCCAGTGTGGGATGCCTCTCAGAGGCTGTGGGCAGGGCTGGCAGGGGGAAGCGCAGGGATTTGGGAGCCAGTGGCTTAGAGATAGCTTGCATGGCTGAGATCATCTGGAGAAAGACAGCCTTGCTTTATGGCAATTTGGAAAAATCTACAGTTGTTTTTGCAGCCTCCTCCACACGCAGGCAGTAAACCCTTCCCCACATGTATACGGTATTACGCCATGGAAGGAAAGGAGGGTGTGCTTAGGCCAGAGGAGGGAGGAGCAGCTGGGGAGGAGGGACCACCAGTAGGAGCTGGGGAAGACCCAGCAGCCACGAGCAGCACCTAGAAGCTCTGTGCCCTGTGTGCCCAGCATGGGAGGCTGGGAGGTTGAGGCTGGGAGGCTGGGAGGTTGAGCTTGCAAGGTTCAAGTGCAGAGCAAGGTAGGTCCCTAGACCTTGGGAGATGAGCCACAATGGACAGGGAGAGACTCGGTGGAGAACAGAGAAAGGGGACAGATCTAAGAATGGACGGAGGGGACAGGAGCAGAGCCCAGGGCACACAGACGGGCAAGTGCCCAGGATCAAAGGCCTGAGTGTTGGCCTGGGCATGCCGGGGTACCCCTTGATCCATGGGCTCCAGGACTTTCCCAGAGGCTGCTCTTCTGCCAGCCAAAGATGACCAAACAGAAGGAGAGGAACCTTGACCGGCCCCTGACAGCTGTGGCTGTGACTTTGGCATCTACGCCTGCCACATGGAGACCCCCATCCATTTCACTGGCTCCTGAGTGGATTATCCAGGTTAGAACTGTGGCATGATCAATGTGTTACATGTTACCTGACACAGAATACATCTCCAAGAGTCTTTAGTAGGACAGGTTGGCAATCAGAGTGGAGATCTCCCCCCAGGAAGATGGGAAAGGCCCATCCCTTGAGCCACCTGCTGGGGACAGAGAGGTGGGCACTGTAGTTGCAGTCACTACTCCTCCTCTCCCCCCGGTGTTGGGCTAAAGCCTTTCTCTTTCACTGTGACTCTGACAAACCCTGACCAACCTCTCTGGGCATTGGTTTCCTCACCCACAGCGTGGAGCCACGGCAAAGAGATCCATCCCAGAACATCAGGCTCTCTTCGCTTATAACACTACAGAAAACTCTGCCTCAAGAATCACCATCAGGTGATTTCGGCCAAGCTCTCTCTCAAGGCCAGGTCTGCAAATGAAGATCATGTGGTTTCATGCCTCTGAGTTCTCATAAGAAACCCCCTACAAGGGTCTGGTACTTAGCAGGTGCCTGATAAACGCTCTTAATGAAGGCAGGTGCTCAGGGCAGTGACACCCTGGAGAGGTCTGGGGAGAAAGGCTGCCTCTGGCTGCCACCTGGCATCTGCAGCCCTTCCTCCAGTGCCAACTGTGCCCCCTGGGAGAGGGAAGGGGAGGGGCGGGGACCCTGAGCCAGCCCAATCACTTAGCCGATCTCCTGGCCGTGGCTCTGGATTTGGATCTGGGTGTAGAACTCATGGCAGGCAGACAGGTGGAGTCTGGAGACTGTATGCAGTTAGATATTTGGGAAGAGCCCGTCTCCTTCTGCTGGGTTGTCAGGCTGGTGGGACACAGGCCTGGAGCCGCAGCTGCCTTCCCTCTGCCCCACAGGGGGAGTTCAGCTGAGGACAGAGCCAGTGGTAGCAGCAGTGGAGCAAGAGGTAAAATCCGACCCATAGGCCATAGACCCATAGGCCCCCATAGGGGGCTGAGTCCCTGCATAGAGCCAGGCCCAAGGCTGCTCCATGAGTGACCACTCACACAAGACCCAAGTTCCCTTGAGCATAAGTGAGGTTGAACTGGGTTTGTGTCACTCACAACCAAACATTTCTGTCAACGCAGCAATTTAAGCCTCCCCTTGCAGCACCGGCATTCCCTATAGGCACTGGTTTGAATCCCAGCTGCTCCACTTTCAATCCAGCTCTCTGCGAAGGCCTGAGAAAGCAGTGGAGGACGGCCCAAGAATGCCTGCGTCCCTGCAAGAACAATCCCGCTCCTGGCTTTGGCCCAGCCCAGCTCTGGTCACTGTGGCCATTTGGGGAGTAAACCGTTGAATGGAAGATCTTTCTCTCTCTCCCCCACAGCCCCTCCCTGTAGCTCCTCTTTTCAAATAAAAATAAATAAGTCTTTTTAAAAAGGAAGTGAAATTCACCCATTATCCCATGACCCAAGCAGAGAATTCTTCCTAATTTTACCTCCCCGCTTTAATTCTCTTTTATGGACACTGTCCTGTAGCACCTGCACCCAGATGTTCCAGGGATTTATGCCTCTTGGGGACAACTGTAGAGAGGGAAACTGAGGCAGGCATCCGGTGTGCCTTCCCCTCCAGGGCCACTGAATAACATGAGGGTCCAGCAGGGCGAGCACACGGACAGCGTGGAGTCCATGTCTCCTTCCAGGCATCTTCTGCCTCCTTCAGTCTCTCCAAGGCTGCAACCGGTCCGCAGTTTACAAAACCCTCACTCTCCATCAGCAATTGTCAGTGTCTGGGGCTCCTGAGCTGTGCATGAGGCAGGATTGCATTCCTGTCCCCCCACCAAGAGCTCTAAGAAGAGTTTTGGGGCGGTCTAGGAGTTTGCACTCACTGGAGGTAAAACACCAAATCTTCTCTGGAAAACACATGGAGGGTTGGGGAGGCATGGAAGCCCTTGGCGTGGAGGGTGAGAGGCCCTCACCCCCGGCTCTGCCTCTGCCTGAAGCTGGGTCGTGCTCTGGCCCCTTTGCAGAGGTGCAGTTACGTCCTTGCCTTCTTGTGCCAGGTGTCCACTTCTGTCATCTCCTGCAGATCCACTGATGAGCCCACAAGGTGGGCACCACCGTGAACCCACTGTACCAGGTACAGAGAGGTTCTGTCACCTGGCCAGGGCCACATCTGACACACGGAGAGCCAGGGTCGGGAGCAGAGGTCTCTGTGCCTGCTGGTGCGTTCTGAACTACTCAGAAGTTCTATGGCCTTCTTTACCTCTGAGAGGAAGTGGTGAGCTACAGCCTGCGTGTATGCAGTCTCCCCTCTGTGCCTGCTGCTGGGCACGGAGAGTAAAAAGCTCCAGTCATGCTTCTCCTGCAAAATATACAAGGCTGAGAAGCCAGCAACAGCCCAATGCCTAGGTCTACAGACTGGGAATGTAGCAGGAACTGCTGCCCAGTGATAAGAAAGAACAAGCCACTGATACACACAGCAAAAGCACGGATGCATTAGAAAAAAAAAAACTACACTGAGATAAGAACCCACATACAAGCACGTGCAGACTGGATGAGCCTGCCAGTGTGACGCCCAATAGCAGGCAAAACTAATTCAAGGGGAAAGACCAGAACAACAGTGGGGGCAGGGGAGGGAGGGTGTGACTCAGAAGGGGAACTTTCCAGCATTAAGGACATGGGTATAGGCCTGTGTACTTCACTGCAGGTGCACCCAGAACCCACGAGAAACCTTGCCCATTCCCCGGAAGTTGAGGTTGATTGGTTCAGGTGCAACGTGAGGTTCAAGAACAGAAAGTAGATTAGTACAGGTTCAAGTTTCTCCAGGGGTGGTGAAATGTTTGGGAATGAGATAGAGGCGATAACAGCCAACTAAACACCTTGCAAAGGGCTCCTCTCCTGGAGTGTGCATTTTTGTTTAACCTTTCCCAAAGCGCAGCAACAGTAAGGTTTAAAGGAGAGGGCATGAGTCCTTATTATCACAATTTCAGCATCTGTGGCTGCTTCCTGGAGGAGGGTCCAGCTCCTACTCGGGCTGCCTGGTGAACTCTGAACCCCTAAACAAGGAGGCCTGCAATGGATTCACCTGCCAGCAGTGTAGGCACCCTTGGGCCACAGCCCATGTTTCACTGCTGAATGCGTACACAAATGAACGCATGAGCAGGTGTCTACATGAGTCAACGGAGCAGTGAGCCAGTCCGTAAGGACATGCAGGAATGAGTCCATGAATGATTGAGTGAACAAAACAGAGAACCGACCAAAAGAGCAAGTGGAGGAGTCTGAGAAGGAACCAAGGGTTCCGGGCAAGGCTTTGCAACACAGGGATGGCGCCCATCCGTGCCTCAGTTTGCTCATCTGTACATGGGCATGAGGGGATAGGAGGGATGGCAGGCTGTCCTGAGAAATGAACGAGCTGAAATACAGAGAGCTTGGCCCCAGGCGCCCCTGAATAAGCCCTACCTACAGGGCTAAAATAGTAAAGAAACATACCCTTGTACCCGGGGATCCAGCCTCGCCAGGGCCCGCCCAGCCCACCTCCCTGCAGCGCCAGACCTACCGAGTAGCTGCACCTCGTCCGTGATGCCGTAGACGTCAATGAGTGCCCACAGCGGGCCGCCCACAGCCACCCCGCAGTGGAAGAGCACAGGCTCGCCGTCGTTGACGCTGTAGAAGACGCGGCCATGGCGGTCCACCCAGTAGGCCAGCACAGTGTCGCGCAGCGCCAGGTTCTCGGGCAGCGCTTTGGCCCAGTAGCCGGGTCTCGTGACCAGGTCGGGACAGGCATACCTGGGGATGTCCTGGGCGCTCATGAGTGACGGGTCATGCGCCGTGAAACCGAAGCGCAGCGCGCCGCTCCAGCCCGGGCGAACCGCCACGAGGCGCAGCCGCACCTGCTCGTACAGGCGGATAGGCCGCTGTGTAAACGTAACGCCGTTGCAGAAGCTGTTGCGCCGCGTGGCCCGGCGCGAGTGGCCGTCCAGCCGCACGTTCTTGCCCTTGGCCTGCGCATGGAAACGCGGCGCTTCACCCAGGACTGGTCGCCGCTCGGGACCGGGGCCGCAGCATGGCCGGGTGGCCAGGAGGCGTGCTGGTGGGCTTGCATCTGCAACACACACACACACAGGTAATCATTAGACCCCTGGGAAGTCCTGTGATTCCTGAGTCAATTTTGAATCATCATTTTCCCCCTTTAGATCTCATCTTAATTAGTGCTATAAGGGCTATACTTGGGAAGGTTCTTGGCTAGACCAAAGCTACAGCCAAGTGGCTGTGCCCACTGCACATCAGGGCAGCTGGGGGCTGCTCCACTTTCAGACCGGCTCATACCAGTAAGCCGTCACAACGCAGAACTCGCCCAGTCGGTCTCAGCCTAAAGGGCTCTCCCAGGCCATCTTTGGATGGCAGGGTCCCTCCAGGTGCAGCTTGGATCCTGGATTCTCAGGGCGGGGGTGGGGGAAGGTGATGAGGATATGGGTTTCATTCTCTGGACAAGTTTTGTCCAGCAGCAAGGCAGGTGCACCTTCCCACGTTAGGCGGCCAGGCCCCACACTGTACTCTGGGCATACCGGGGGTCTATGGGAGTCAGGGCAGGAGAAAATGAAGAAGCTGACGCAGTGCATGAGTTCATGAGCCACAGCTCCCTTGCCCTGGCCCAAGGAGATGGAAGCCCTGGGGAATTAGGTAGGAATAGGGCAAGGAAGCTTGGAGGCTTCTCTCTAAATAGATGTCACTGACCCATGCAAGCCAGAATCCAAGGAACAAAGCCAAGGGCCCATGTGAGAAAAAGAACCTGGTGGGACTTGAGTCAGGTAGCAGCAGGTGTCAGCGAACTGTGTGGTATGTGCTAGGCATCACACTAGCCCCTCCCACACCCCAAGATATCCAAGATCCTCCCCTTGGATGGAGGCAGGTAGCAGGCAAAGTCAGATAAGCGAACAGAACACTTTCTGTCATGTGCGATGCAGCCAAGGAACACAGGGCAGAGTCAGGAATTAGATTAAGACTAAAGGGACAGCCTGATGGGAAGGGGTGACCAAGAGCATTTTTGGTGGGATGGCATCCTTGGGGGTGGGGGTAGGGGTGGGAGGACAGCCAGCCAGTGCAAAGGCCCTGTGGTGGGAGTGTGCTGGTGTGCTAGAGAAACAAGAAGGAAGCGAGGAGAGCCAGCAGGGGGTGAGCCACACAGGGAGAAGAGAGGGGACGGGTCAGGGAGAAGAGCCCATTGGCTATCTGTCTGGTTCTTCCCGAATCATTTTACTCTCAGTGACATGAGCCACTCTGGGAGGTCTGGCACAGGCCACTGCGTGCTGGGGCAGTGCTGGGGAATGGTAGGTAAGGAAGTCCAGGACTTCTACCTGCATCCTAGGTGACACAAGGGTATAAGTGTTGTGGTTTGATGGGGAGGGAGGTGGAGGCAGATACTGGTTTTGCAGACAGTAAAGAGCTGGAGGTTTTAATTTGTTATTATAAAGAAAGAAAACGCGTTACACTTGCTCTGGTCATTTAAACTATATGCAGTGGATAGAATCATGTTAAACAACCTTCTGGTTTCATAACAGACACTCAGGAGAAGCAGAGCAGTGGTGAAGCAGGGGAGGGCGAAGCCAGGGATGGGGGTAAAGGGCAGGTGCATGTCCATTTCTGCTCTGAGTCCCATGTGCCCAGCAAAGGCTGGCTGCTGTGTTCCAGTTACAGCAACAGGCTCCCTCCTCCAACAGCCAATCTTACAGCAGAGGGCAAGGGACCTGCCCCAGCACGAGATCAACCAGGACAAGGCAGGTAGTGCTTCAGACAAGTCATGCCTGAACCCAGGAGGCAGAAGGTCAGAGGTCAGGCCAGGGAGGGTAAGGCTCCAGGTACCACCTCCTGCAGGCTTGGGCCATGAGGAACGACTCCCTCTTTCCATCCAGCTCACAATCTTGGCCACTTGGGCACCTGCTGCCTTTGCTTGCCAGAGATCCCTCCCTCCTTTTCCCAGGTACTATGCCCTAGTTTTCCTCCCAGGTCCAGCTGCCCTCCACCCTGGCTAGTGCTCCACTCGGGATGTGAGCCCAGCCACTCAGCTGACCGGCAAGTTTTGAGCCTCTTCTGCTTCTAAGCCAGGTTGAGAATGGTTTTCTGAGGCTCGCAACCAAAAACATCCTGACCCACAGCCACATCTGGCATGCAGTGAGCCCACGAGGGATGCCTGCCCTGGGCTGGACGCTTCCTCACTGAATGCTCACAAGGAGGCGGGGACTGCTGTTACTGGCCGGCCCACCATGGGGATGCACCAACAGAATTCCAGAGGGTTGAGTTGGGCCATGAATCACACAACTGCTGGAACTAAGGCCAGGCTAGCGTGATCCCCCAACCCTGTAGCCCCTACAAGGCTTGTCTTCCAAACAGGTGTTCCAGTGTCTCTGCCTTTGAACAACTAACCAGGAATAGAGAGAACAGCTGGGCCACAGACTCCTGATGCAGGAGAGGCAAGCCAGAAGCCACCTACGGATGCTCTTCACTGCTAGGGAGACCTGCCAGGCAGAGGGCTGGACCAGCAGGGCAACAAGCAAAATAAATGTTCACTCACTCAGTCGCCCTCTCCCTTTTCTGCAGCTCGCACTCATTCTCCTGGCCCTCCTACAGACCTGGGTTGCTGTTGAATACTCAATGACAAAGAGGCACGATAAGGCTTCCTCAGATGTCAGCCCTAGGAGCTACAGGAGTCTGGAGCAGTTCTGGACTGTTGTCTTTTTGACTCCATACGTCACTACAGTGCTCTCTGGCCATCACTGGCTGCACTTTTCTTTACAGCTGTAGAAGATTCCACTGAAGTCCTCACATACCACCCCCATCTGAGTACATCCGCTATGCCCCCTGCAACATGGCTGGGGGGTACAGAGGTTTTTCAAGGCCCCAGTCAGACAGTCTATCGCTGGGACCATTGCCAGCAGGAGCCCCCCCACCCCAAGACCAGGCCAGGGACCACCTCCCATGGCCCTGTCCTCTGTGACAGGCTACTGCCACTGGCTGGTGAGCCCTCTCCTCTTCCAGGCAGGAGCTGGGTCCAAGGGACTCCAAGAACAAGTTGGTGAGGGGGATCTAGGAGAGGTCTCGCAGTGGTTCTTCCAGTTCAGGAGTGAGAACAGGCAGGGAAAAGCAGGCTTGGCCCAACCCTCAGGGTTACTCAAAGGCTGCTGGAGGGGTGGGGATGGGGGCAGAGCCGAGAGGTCACGGAGGGTGCTGGACCCTCCCTGCTCTACCTGGGCAAGTCTTTCGGGAGGCAGGTGCACATAGGAACCACCGCTGGGCAGTACAGGGGTGAGTTCACGGCCTCTGCGTGCACGCTTAGCTATTAACAAGGCAGAGCCTTCTGAAGGCACAGCTCCCCCACGTGGCAGTGGCGTGGCGTCTCAGACCCTCTCACTTCCATCTCTCCCATTGCTTTTTGTCTATATCTCAATGTCAGGGATAGTTAAGAAGAACATGGGCTAGGAGTCAGACTCGAGTTTAAAATTCTGTCTTTGTGCTCGCTTTGGCAGCACATCTACTAAAATTGGAACGATAAAATTCTGTCTTTATCATTTACTCCCTGTGGCCTGCTTTCCTCTTTGTGGATTTATTTGGTTTGAAAGGCAGAGGGATGGGGGTGGAGGAGAGAGATGTAGAGACAGAGAGAGATCTTTCGCCATCTGGTTCACTTCCCAAATACCTACAACAGTAGTGTCTGTACCAGGTCTCTGCCAGGAGCTTGCAACTCCATTTGGGTCTCCTGTGTGGGTGGCAGGGACCTAAGCACGTGGGCCATCCTCTGCTGCTTTCCCAGGCTCAGTAACAGAGGATGGTATCGGAAGCGGAAAAGCTGGGACTTGAGCTGATACTGGGATTAGCGGATGCCAGTGTCCCAAACGGTGGTTTGACACACCGCACAACACCATCCATCCCCCTGACATGTCCCTCCCCCTCGAGATGTAGAGAATGAGTTCCAGTAACGTCCGAGGTGCCAGAGCGCTGGGACAGCACACAGCTAGGCTGCCTGGCTGGACTGCCCAGTGCAGGTGCTGCTTCCTGGGATCCCCCTGTTAGTTCCCTGCCGCTGGGGAAGCACAACCCTCTGGAATGGATCTCCTGGGCCCTGGTGGGCAGCAAGAGCCTCGTGAAAACCCCCCGTTACTTCTCCTTGATGTCCAAGGCCGGCGGCCTATTTTTAAGCCATCTCAGCCGTGTCCCAGATGCACACTGCGCCAGCCCCCGAATGGGCCTCACTCCTCTCCCTGGTCCAGCCCTTCCTTTGATCTAAAAAGAGCCCCAGGAAAAGGGCATGGCCAGCCACCATAGCCCTGGCAGCCAGCACCATGGTCTCCTCTCCCCCAGGTTTGGGGCTTGCCCATGGGACACCAGTCTGTCCTGCCCCGGCCTCCCATAGAAGGCCCGGCTGGCGTTTCATGGACCTTTGCAGGCACAAGATTTTGTTTCTCTTCGGAATCAACCTGCTGAGGAGGTTTTGGTGTCTTTCTTTTCCAGACAAGGAGACCAAGGCTCAGGGGTAGGATCTGACTCGTGTATCACATCCTCATTGGTTTCAAGGCAGCTGCTTCCATCCTTCAGGCAGGGGCTGGGGAGTGAGGAGTCACGGATGTCGTCGAGTGCTTTGGGCAAGGTCTCTGATCTACAGGCAAATCCCTATCCATGCACATATCTGGTATCCAACATCCAGGACTTTATAACCATCTCTGGATTGGGACCAGTGCAATGGCTCAACTGGCTAATCCTCTACCTGCAACCCATATGGGTGCTGGTTCATATCCTGACTGCTGCACTTCGCATCCAGCTCCTTGCCTGTGACCTGGGATAGCAGCAGAGGATGGGCCAAAGCCTTGGGACCCTGCACCTGTGTGGAAGACCTGGAAGAAGTTCATGACTCCTGGCTTCGGATCAGCTCAGCTTTGGCTGTTGTGGCTATCTGGGGAGTGAACCAGCAGACAGAAAGATCTTTCTGTCTCTCTTCTCTGTAAACCCGCCTTTCCAACAAAAATAAAACAATCTTTGGATTGTAGACTTGGAATGAGAAGTCTCTGGTTCTAAATGACATTCACCTGAGTCCAAAATGTAAAACCAGCAGTG